CTCCAAATCTCACTCCTACTAGTAGGCAATGAGGAATATCGACAAAGTTCTCTATTGAGGATCCTATCTTTTCTGAGGGACGAGTGAAGGCTCACGTACCGTCAGCCTACTATCTTTTTAACGCCTCCGCGACATCCGACTATTTGTAAAGGGCTTAGAATATCCTGCAGCAGTCTAATCGATTATAGTATATGGTGCAGACACAGCGTTATCGTTGGAATGTGAAAGCAGTCTCCTGATGTCTGCATACCTAATCACATTGTAGTTCCGTATCTTCGTACCGCGGCAACTTCTTCGTTTCTTTTTTGTTTAATCAATCGAATGGTATCAAAAAAATGTCACCAGGGGGGAGCTAAACCATGCGGTCCTTGGATCATTGATGCCCTTAATCTCTTAATTGCCGCCACTTTCAAACGGGCCACTTTCTTACACAGTCCGTCTTTGTTTAACAATAAATAATGCTCCCGTTTAATTGAAAACTCCATTTTTGTCAGCAAAGATGGTATAATTACCTTGCTCATTAGATTCTTTCTCAACTGGCTCAGTCCTGTTTCTGTGTGAGTTCAACCTTTCCTCATTTTACCTTCTGCCTCCTCCACGTAACACTCATCCAATCACTTGTCCTTAATTGAACGGTATCGATACGGTTGTCGAGTGTTTTTGATTTATGTCCGTATTGTAGGACGCATGCATGTAATTGCTTACTAGGCGTGCAAATACTGTTTATTTATAATTAGTTCGACGTTGTCTGTGCTGTGTTTCTGGCCTATGTCGGACGACGAGGTTAAATGAAGTAATCACTGGATGCACGCACACACTAACTCGGGTACAAATGTGTTTACGCATATACGCGCACAAACACCACTCATGGTTGTTTTCAGCGTAGTAGTAGTAATAGTAGTATTAGTAGTAGTCGTAGTAGTAGTAATAGTTTATCTAAATTTCTATCAGTTGAACTGTGTCCGGTTGGGCTACTGCACGAGCCCGTAATTCATATGATGGCATTCCTTTCTCATGGGAACGGATGGTCCCCTGTCCGCGCACAGACACACACACACACACGTCCCTGATGATGCACTGTTGCGTCTGGCTCGTAGTGATAGATCACACTTATACAAAAATCGATCTGTTTTCATAGTTTACATTTTAAATAAAATCCGCTACATTGGATGCACAAATCGAAATACGTAATAGTTTCCCTGAACGCATATGCTCGCTGGTTTAAGAAGAGTCGTATCTCATTAGGCTGGGAACGTAAACTAGCACGTGGTCATGTATCGTGCACACATGTGCACTTATATTTATCTCTCTGCAATGGCTACATAACCGAGCGTTTATGTGCCAGGTTAATTGTAAAACTTGAACTAAACTAAACTAGGCAGATGCGTCTTTTTCTAACCGGTACTTTAGTGACACCGATTAATACGTCTCAATTCAAAACGTCATTAGCAGCAGTCCTGGTTGATAAAAGTCAATACCAAAGTTTTCTTGGTGAACAAATTTACAAAACTGAAACTTTTTTAGTCCCATAAAATCTTTACATTATGCGCTTAGACTGTACGAGAAATGAAGTAAACCATACCCACTTGCACTCATTGGTATTTGAAAATTAGGTGCCCCATTCTTTCGTCGGATCATAATTTGGACGAATCATTGAGAGAATCACAAATCACCAAGGGATGGGGAATAGAGTTTTAGTCAGTTTACACTGCTACTTAATGGGCAACCTAGGTCACCGATTCTTCTGGAGAAACATGTTAAATCTATGATCCGTGAGATGACCATTCGTGTATAGTGTTAGCGGAGTCTGACACGGTTGATTCGCTCGCTGCAGCGTTGTATATCCCAGGCTCTAGCTTTTCCGAATCCGACGAGTAAATTTCCAAACACTCACGACTTTGGGCTTAGTTCTGGGACTGCGGTTTTTTGACTTATATGATTACTGATCCCCTTCAGACGATAGAGCGCTTTTTTGTCACTCTTTAGCGTAGCAGTGTGGTTGAATTTGTGTTGACAGCATACAAGAAACAAAGCTGTTTCGAACCCTTGGGAAACACGTTTGAGTAATGCCGTTAGTTTTATAGCTATTGATGATAATCGGGCACGAGGTATGGAATATTTCAGGCCTCCTCGAATGATTACTTCCCTATCTCGTTTGTTTGTTGCACGTTTTAGTAGACAACGCCGAACCACAAAACGACAGTGTGTCAACGAAAAGTGAAAGAGCATTATAATATAACATTTAAAAGACCTAAAAAACGGACAGCAACATCAGAGACCAGTGGCTTACCCAGATGTTTATGATTCACTTAGTTTAGCATTTTGCGCAGATTTTCTGCAACGAGTTCATGGTTTGTTATAAATCCAGCGAGATACGGTACAATAGAGCGCCTGTAAACTTCAGTGCGTGTCTTTGTAAGTTTGTGCATGGAATGGGTGGATGATTGAGAAAGGCACGGACCAAGGATGGAATAAGGGGGATGGGAAATATCAGGTATAATCTTGTTGGAGAATGTTTACAGGCCTTGAGGTGGTGTGTCACCACACACTGTAGCAAATGTTCCCATGTTATGAGACTAAAACTCGACAGAACCTTGAGGGATCTGGAAATGAGTTTGATGTCCCTGTTAAGATGACTGGGAAAGATAACGGCACCCATAAAGCCAGGGGTGCTAAACGCAAGCAAAAACAGAACAACTTATGAGATGTTTTTGGGATAGAAAATGATTTAGGATGTAAAACACAACGTGAGCCTCCCGACCTTCTAGAAAAATTAATTGACGTGGTCAGACCAGGTGAGGTTACGGTTGAAAATAACGCCAAGATGTTTGACAGACGTTGTCAATCCATCTGGTCTTTGAGGATAGATAAAGGCGGGGTGGCATTTGACAATTCACCTTACTTATGACCTTTCAAAAAGGAAAAAATACGTTATTACATTTTTGGGTTTCATACAGATATTCCTTTGTTGGGACCACTCACTTTTTTCTGACATGTCTTCTTGTAGAATGGTTTTGAAATCACGGCTTGGGGTAGGGTAACCCGAATATTATATCGTCTGCATACTTAACAAGAAAAGAATAATTGCTCACATGCATAGAGGAAATGAAAGCGAAAATAGAAAATGGGATAAAATAGTGCATTGCAGTACGTCTTGTAAGGAGGACAGTCGTGAAGAAGTACGGCCTTTGTAGCGTAAGAACTGTTGACGTTAGGAGGAATAGTTGGCCAAGAATTCAATCGTAGAAGGTTGAACTCCATCCGAAGAGAGGGTTTATAGCAGAATTGGTCAATGAATTGTGTTAAAAGCATCACTGTACTCAATAAAAGATATGCCCATAACCTCGCTTTTTTATCCAGGTTGGATAAAACATAGTGGGACACGTACGCAAACGCATCCAGAGTACCACGAGAATGGATGTATGTATGCAAACTGGTTCGGGTCACCAACATTGAACTGTGTGGACAGGGTCTTAATGAGGAGTCTCTCAAACACCTTCAAAACAATTGAGGTGCAGACAATGGGACGGAATTTTGAGGATCCTTTCTTCGGTACAGGGGTGATAGAGGCTATTCTCCAGCAGTCGGGTATACGTTGCTACGAAATACATTTATTGAAAAGTTCACTCAAAACAGGGGAAAGGAAGGCAGCACGTTCTTTCAGGACAGCGGGTGAGACTCCGTCGGGGCCGCAGGATTTGTGAGGATTTAATTGAGCCAACTCTTGATAAGTATCAACAGGTGCAACGCCGTAGACGGGATCAGTGGTGTTTATTTCATATACATTAGGTAGAGCAGTGAGAGCGGTTCCACCGTTGATGAAACTGATTCAGACCATCTATGTCCACCGCAGCAGGTGAGCAGTGTGAGGATTGTGAGGATCTGCAAAAGCTTTTGCAGATGTCCAAACAGACTACGTCTACTGTCCTCCCGTGCGTTGATCGTTTTCGTCTGCTAATTTTGTGCCAACTGAAGATTGGAGATTCGTGACATTTTTTGTCACAATCCGTGTTCACTTGGTGGCAGTACATTATGCTTATCGAAATACTCCATCTGGAAATCAACGACAATTTGCTCCCGGATTCTGACGGAACACGAACAGGGTTACATAATTGGTCTTCGGTTAGCGAGGTCACTTTGATAACCGGCTTCGTCCAATCATTTTTCCGCTATGGTGGTAACACAGTGATGTCGATCATTCTTGGGTGCTGACCACCCAGATTCCTCTTTTCTGGCAACCTTTATGTACTTATACAGCAAATTTGGATCGGAAGGTAGTTTAGAGGTTGGGATTTCTCTGTGTGCCTGTTTATTCTCTCGCAATGTTTTACACAATTTCTCAACATGATATATTTATTCCATGTGTCAGCTGTCGTACGTATGCATTTTGTACTGTTGTCTTGATTCTATGGGTCGGATTAAACCAGTGGCTAAATTCTGAAAAGCAAGAAGTTCCTAAGACTTCCTCATCAGCACATAATATCAAATTCAGGTGGTGAAGAAATTTCCGCTCGATATATCAAATTCGACTCTCACTTGTACAGAGAGATCAGTTCATTGGAGAACGTGAAACACCTACTGCCTGTTGTGGTTTTCGTGATAAATTTACGATTTTTGTAAGCCCTCCGAACATGGCACATGTGATCATATAAAGCCACTTTAGACTATCTGATAATCCAACCCCGGGTTTCCTCGCCACCCTGAGCTAGACGATCATTTTGATTGAAATCTATGTGAATCAGAGAATTGTGGTGCTTCACTTTGGAGATCTCAGTTTGAATTACGTAGTTGTCAGTGCAGCCTAAGAAAATCACTTTTAGAGACTTAGACTGGGTGGATTCTGCTCCGTCATGTAGCCCATCTAAGTCTCGTGTTCACTCCCGCGTACCCTTTGCGGATAGTTACTGGCACCTTGAATCAATAGTACACAATTTCGATTCAGCTTATGCCCAAAATATTTGTTTACATTGAAATTAAAGAACAAATAAACGTGATTCGCATTATTTTAGCTGCAGTACTGTTAGCACAACCCAGATTTGCTCGGTCACATGAATTTTCGGTGGTTGATTGTGAGCTTTTTTGGCCAGTTTGAGACGTCCTTGTTTTTGTTTCGTGGCCTCGGTGCATATTTCTCCATCGATCCAATCACCCTGTGGTCGAATATCGTCCATTTTCGAGGTCATTGTCGATGCACATTGCAGGCGTGCGCACGCACACATGCGTATACCAAACCAACATTGTTGAACCTTCTGTTGCCGAGATAGCTAGATATTTTTGTTACTACAATTCGCTCTGACCTCCGTTTGCATGGGTTGTCATGGGTGTACGGTTTCACCGCCTAACGCTCACCAAATGTCCCGTTCTGAAGTATGGATTTTGAGTAAGTAAGCACAAAGCATGATGAAATTTATTCAGAAGCAATCTACTTTCCCGTCCAAATACGCTAATAGTTTGTTAGCGCAGTCAGTTCAGCCGTAGGCAACTGATGCACAGGCCGAGTAACTGCGGTTCAACGAAATCTTAAAGGGTTTGCCTAAACCATTATCGGAATTGAGCTGTATGAGAAAGTTCTCCGAATTCGGAACTAACCGGTCTGATGAGGATGAGGGATAACTTAGAAATCTAAATCCTGCACCTTTTCTCATCCACCAATCGTGCGTTGTGCGGTAGAGCGATGGAGTAAAAGATAACCAGTGGACTGATCTAGGCCGTTTTCCTGTGAAATCTTGAATTATTACATCCAACTGGTTGAGGTGAAATCAGTGATTCAAATATCATAACCATGTAATGGATATCAACTATTTCAGACCTTTAGGGACTCATCATCAGCTATCTTGAAAGATATTGCAATATGATGTACTTAATTTTCCTTCTCCAACCACTGTGCTGAACGTGATTGTATATCCTCCTCTCAAGGGATTTTAAGCCTTGGCTTTAGGGTTTTCTACCTGTAGTGATTCGGATCTACGAGATCACGCCTGCCCTGGAGCAGCGCGGTACAGTTTCCGG